AAAAGTAAACAGTCTTGCTCTTTAGGGTTTCTAATATTGCATTCTCCATTACTGTGTACACATACTGTAATTTATACATATTAAAATGAGAAGTGACTGGTGGCACTGTGTATTGTGAGTGGGCTATTTGATCTGGCGTGTATTAGATTTTGCGTGTATCAGATGTGTTCTATCAGCAATTGAATTCCTGCTAGCATAGGGGTGATTAAGTTACTGTATTACCGTAATTCTTATAATTATATGATCTACTGATTTGTGCAGGATCAACACTTTTAATGTTGGCCTGTTTGTGAAGTGGATCTGGTTCCACTGTTTGTAAACAGTGTCAGTAGAATAGTGAAATTCTTTCAATATTTGTTTAAAAGCAATGTTGTTGGTTCTCAGTTGTTTTGAGGATTCAGTGCCCTACAATGTGATACACAAGAGTTAAAATGATATTTAAAGAATTGTAGAAAAAACAAGAGCCTCTCAGAATTAGTGAAAGTTCCAAGCAGGAAAAACTAAAGAAGTGTTCCTATATCAGATCCATATTTTCAGTTCTGAACTGGAATAGGATAAATCCAATCTCGTACGTTCCAGGTGGGGTCACCAGTCCTAGTCCTAGAGGGCAGGAGTGTCTACAGCTTTTTCAGTCCAGCTGGGCTCATAACTACTTGAATCAGCTCATTTGTGGCCAAACTGAACCAGTTCAATAGCTTGTCCCAGCTCTTCAGGTTCTGGTGCTTCAAAGAGCCCTAGAAAACAACAGAGACACACACACCAATCCTCTAGGACCAGGATTGTTTTAGACTGTCGAGGTTATTGTAGGATAAGGCTGCTTAGGGTGCATTAGGAAATGTATAAGACTACTTAGGATGGAAGGAAATATGTCTGCATGGGAAAGCTCAGGAGATAACTGATCTCCTACTAGGGAAGTGCTATGCTACGTCTAGCCGAATGAACATTTTCATTCATTACTGTATGAATTAAAGACGTGAGAAGACTAAAAGACAGCATGATTTGTTATCAAGACTGAGACCGAGACAATTTACTATAAGTAGAAAATCTGAACAGTATGTGCATCCATGTAACTCTAAATTTATCAGAGGGGCTGCAAGCATTTGGTGGATTTATAAACAGTGCTCATGAATTGTGTTATTACCATGTTATAATATCAAGACTTTGGTGTGGCACATATGAAACATTACACCAGCGACAGCGTTAAGGCTAAAGGATTGGCAGTCGGAAGGTCCGCGAGATTTGCCTAGTTCAGTAGTTTAAAAAGGAGGGTGTGCTTCTTTTAGGGGGTATACAGTCATGATAGAAGAAGATAGGTTTCTCTGATAAGGCTGGGCAGTGATGGGACCCGGCTGGAGGACGTGGTGCTCACTATTGCTCCGTCTCTCAAGGACTTGGAGAAACCTGCAGTTGTGTCAACCAGGATGAAGGGGGGAGGCAAGACTGGGGGAGGGGGCGGTGACAGAGAGCCGAGAGGGGCCAGCGATCGCCCTGCCTCCGGACAGCAGCCCGGTGAGTGTGTCCTGTCCCCTAACTAGAGAAGGAGGGCCCTACAGAACTAATCTGCTCCAAATGTTTAAAAAGATTCTAAATTGGCCACATTTCCCCTTCTAAAAATGGCGTTATAATCTATCCAAAATCATAAGATAGTCTAATCAGTTCTGCTATAACACAATAGTCCTACCTTGTGGAAAACACGTCTTAATAACCATGTATTTGATGGGAATTAAGATATTAGGGGAACATGTCTAGAAGACACCATCATGATTGAAATATGTCTGTACAATTTTGTGCAATACTCTTATTTCCTATGTTGTTATTTGATCACAACAATATTTTATTGTGATAATATCATTCAGTGATTGAATATAACCAGGAAAACATTGAAACAGGTGCCGGAGACAGAGCTGTACAGTGTGCGTCAGTCTTCCATACAAAGGCAGTAGGAAGTGAAACAGTGGTAAAGGGGGAGGAGAGAGGCAGCAAGGCAGATAGAGGAGGGTGTTTACATTTCAGAACATTTTAACTGAAAGAAACATGTATAAAATGTAAATGAAAGCCAGTCGGGCCTAATACCATTCTGAATAATTAAGAGCAAAATGCCAAGGGTTTGGGGATTCTTCACGCACATCTGATGAAGACTGCACAAGGTTTCAGCCAAAACCCTTTGCGTTGTCCTGTTTCTGTCAGTGTGCAATTAGCCTCCTTTGGTTCTTTGGCAGCTGGTATGCCAATTACAGCCCCTGATGTCCCTGTCTCATGTAACCTCTCTGAAAAGTATTGAAAAGTTTCAAACTCCACAATTTTATAAAATATGTTGTAATGGCGCCCATAGTACTTTAATTATAGCAAGAAAAATAATTACTCCTAAATCTAAACACATAGATAATTAATCAGGTTTCCTATGTAACATCATACAGTATGTGCAGTGCTTCCTCCGATACAACAATAGATGTCTCATCACGTGTCTCTTTAAGCTGTAATCTATACGGACTGTGAGAAGTGGAAAACGATTTTGCACTCTCTTTTTTCCTGCATTCAGAGAAAAAATAAATTGGTTTCCGTTTATGTTTCTACTGTCCCTTTAAAGTTGCTTCTAGTTAATATGAGATTTTAGCTGGTTAATTTTTTAAGTGCCTCTGCCCTGCCCTGCCAGCCTGCAGCTGAATGCTTGTCCTTCCTTCTGTGTTTAGTGGTGCCAGTGATGTCAGCAGTGGGAGAGGTGATGCCAGGAATGCAGTCAATGCCTATGATGCCAACAATACCCAATGTGCCAGGTAAACGGAATCAATAGTGGGCGACACAGAGACTGGGTAACCTCGGGGCTTTTGTAAGTGGTGATAACAAAGTACCAGTTTAAAAAAAGGCAAAAATAGCATGGGTCTCTTTCTTAAACAAGAGAAAAATAGCTGCAGATATTTTAATCAATGGACATCTACAGAGGTCTTCTCATATAGTAGAATTGACTACTGTAATGCTCTACTTGCTGGGGTATCTAAATCTACTCTGAACAAACTGCAGTATGTCCAAAATTCAGCAGCCAGAATCCTGACCAGGTCTAGTGCAAGTGTTCACATTACTCGTATCCTGGAGTCCTTGCACTGGCTTCCGGTCAAATTTCGTGTAAACTCGTGCTCACCTATAAGGCTCTGCATGGCTTGGCACCTCAGTACCTGTCTGAATTATTATCGCCCTACTCCCCACCTCGCAACCTTCGCTCTTCTAATTCTGCTCTCCTTACTGTCCCCCAAGCCCATCTACATTGTATGGGTGACAGGGCCTTCTCCTGTTATGCCCCCAAGCTCTGGAACTCTCTCCCTAAGGATATCAGAGGAATATCACCTTCTCTAAACTCCTTCAAATCCAGACTCAAAACCCTCTTCTTCAGAAAAGCCTTTACTTAACTGGTTCCATTCTTCACCTCTCTGCTTTTCTTAGTACCACCATCCACGGTCTCTTCTATATATTGTAATTGTGTTTTATCTTGTGTATTCTTCTTATTTATTGTTGTTGTCATCCTGTAAAGAGCTTTGAGAAGCCACTTGTAATGGCGCTATATAAAATAAAGTTTATTATTAATATTATATTATTATATACTGTACGTGATCTTTCGTCAGACTACAGCAAGTGATCTTACTGAAGAGTAAAAGATTGAAATATGAAATTTGCTGTGAAACTCAAAAGCGTTATCTAGAAAAGGCAAGGAATGTGGACTTTAGTTACCCCTTATTGTTTTGTGTTTTGAGATGGCACTGAGAAGAGAATTATATAAGTTATTCATTGTTTTAATGCTTCGATATGGAATAAATAAATATATTATTATATTATATTTCCATTGTTGTCTTTCTGTTTTGAGGTTTGGACCAGTCGCTGTTGGCTCAGCAACAAGCCTTCATCAATCAGCAAGCATTCCTCCTGGTTTGTATCCAGATAACCAAAAGACCATCCAAGCTGTTACCATGACATATTGTGTCTGCAGAGCTTGCTCATAATACAGTCAACCACATCACAAGGGGTTAGATAGCAATGACTATCAGCCTGTGAATTGATCTGTTTCCTCAGCCTTTGGCGTTTTATACAGTAAAACCCACCAAGTTGTATTTTAAAATGGTTATTTGTTTGTTGCCATAAAACAGTTGATGTAGGATTTCTATTTCCTATGGCTGGGTGATCAAAGTTTGAACCTTAAGATCATCAGAATGGTTACAAGTAGACCATTTGGTGATTACTAGCTAATGGATCCAAAGATCTCATTACACCATTTCTTATTTCTTAAAATAAACCAGGTTAGTGGCTTCAACATCACATGGCTGGGCAGCTTTCTCCATATTCCCACAGTCTTTTGGATAAAGACATACCTCCTGTTCTCAATTTAAAATCAATTTCCATGTAGTTCCGACTTGTCCTCTGGTTTGTGTTTCACTGAGTTCTGAGGACATCTGCTGGGTTGACTTTGTTATTGCCTTTGAGAATTTTGAGTACTTGGATCAGGTGCCCTAATTCTCTGTTCAAGAATAAAAAGGTTCAGTTCTTTCATCCTGTCAGTGAAGGACATTTGTTTAAGCTCAGGACTGTACCTGATTGTGATTGCAGAGCACTGACACATTTTCTATAATGTGGTGACCAAAGTAGCACACAGTCTTACTGGTGTATTATACAGTTTTAACATGGAATTCCTTGACTTAAATTAGATGTTTTCAACCATTTATCTTAACATTTTTATTGTGTTTTGTGTTGCTTCTAGACAATGCATTGTATTGTCCAGAAGATGTAAGATTATGTGTCAATCCATTTTTTAAAATATGTAGCCTCTCCTAGCTCTGTGTTTCCCATTTTATTTTTACTGCTACCTACTTGCAAAGCCCTTTATCAGACTACATTTAATCATTTTCTACATAATTTTCTAAGAGTTTGCGCAGTCTTGAATTTTATAAAAATCTTTTTTATTAAATTGCTTCTATAGTGCTAAATATCCTAATATGGTATCATATGCAAACGTAAGTAGATCACTTACCATACCAGAATCAAGATAATTGAAGAATTGGGAAAACCAGTGAGGAGCCTAGCACAGATCCCTGTGGTACTCCACTAATTTCCTCACCCCTCGTCTGTGCTCTTAGTTTTATATTTATTAACCAATTCTCAATCTCAATCACAGGTGATTCCCTGAATGCCTACCACCTGTAATTTGAGAACTTATCTTCTCTGAAGAACTTTATAAAAAAGCCTTCTAAGAAATCGAATTACGCTATATCATATGCACTGTGTGTATCCATTACTGTTGTTGTTTAAGCACGTCCTACCTTTTCTAAATCCCTGTTGACTATTCACCACTTATTTTATTAATCTTACATTAATCTGTTAGACTTTCCACTGAGAACATATACTGGATTGAATTCATCAAGATTTTGTAATCAAAGCTGCAAAGACCTTTATAAGTATATATAAAAGACCTTCCTTCGAAAATTCTTCTATACATTTAAATTTGTGACGAAGCACAATGAAAATGACAGGTCTGACAACCCCCAACTTAAATGTTCAGTATTTAAATGAAGCAGCACCAAAGTGAAGAATTCCAAGAACACTGACCAGGCGTGTGTGTGCGTGTGGGCGTGTTTGTTCATGTGTATATTCGTGTGTTTGTGTATGCATGTGTGTGCATGTTTTGTTCATGTGTGTGTGCATGTGTGTGTGTACTTCGCAGGCCCAGCAGATGACAATGCAGGCCATGGCTCTCCAGCAGCAGATGAGCAGTGCCGCTAGTCCGGTCACCAGCACAGCGACCAGCCCCATCTCCAGTCACCCCTCCAGCCCAGTGTTCCAGCCACGTTCTGGTGCCAGCATCGCCCCCCTGCCCCGGGCTTCTGTGCCTACTCCGGTGAGTCTGTGACACCGGAGCTGTGCACTGGCTTCCGATAACTCTCCAGGCTCCAGTTCCCATCGGACCCCCTTCAGGTGAAGGGGCTCTTCACCTCTAGGACTTCCTGACAGAGCATTTTCCAAAATCCGCAGTAAGATCAGTGGTTGCTGACTTTCAGGTATTTCCTCTGAGGAAGTGGGGAACTAGGCCCTTCGATCCTCATGATTCTAGTGTTTGGAATGGTTTAGAAAAACGTGTTAAGAAGGTTGGCCAACCTCAGTATTTGAAATCTGTTAGGAATACACAAAACTCCCAGCTTTTATTTCTGCAGAGCAAACCACCACGAAGCAGCCATACCCATAAGCCAATTCCTGCCCCGGCTATGAAGAGGGAAAGGCCTGCCTATCAGAAATCAGGTACGTGGGCTCAGCGTGACCTCTTATAGGGCAAGGGTGTCACGATTATAGTCCCCCCTCCTTAAGGGTGCTCCAGCCCTTTCACTTTAGACTTAATTCTGTGCACCTGACCCCTTTTCCCAGCCCACCTTAAAAGCCAGGCGCTGACGCTCATCCTGGCTCTGCATCTGGTTTCCGCACCGTGCGAGTCCGGGACCTGAAAGCGCCTGGTCCCGTTGAGGTTTTAATCTCTGTTCCCGTTCCCTGTCCGCCGGTTCCGACCCGGTTCGTGGTTTTAATTCCTTGTTTGGATGGATCACCTGGTTATGGACTTATTCTTGTGTTTTTGGATTCCCTCTATGGATTACTTCTGGATTGTTTGCCTCGGCCACACCTCCCCCGTGCACCAGCGCACTTTGGACACGCCCCCCTGTTTTCAGCCCCGTATCCCTGCATGACCTTTTCCTAGTGTTTCCCACTTCTTCGGATTGTGTCGTCCGCATAGGGTCCGGAAAGAACTGTTCGTTACAAAGGGTTTCTAATCCTGATGCTCGTGCTGGTGGTGTTCATTCCAGCTGAGCTTAAATACCTCATTGATGCCTTAAGAATAATGTTTGTTCTTGTTTTTCTGCTCAGAAGTTTGGGATTTAAGTAAAAGGCAACCTCCAATATCGAACGAGTAAGGGTTTATTCCATACTGAAAAGAGAAGAAAAGAAACACGACATTTTGGCTGTAGAGCCTTCTTTTTAGACACCCAAAGAAGTCTCCACAGCCGAAATGTCATGTTACTTTTCTCTCTTTTCAGCATGGAATGCACCTTTATTTGTTCCTTTGCTGCCTACGCATGCTGACACAGCTCCCAGCTTGAACTATTTCAACATCCAGTATGTTTAAAACAGTAATGCATATCAATGTAATCCTATTAAGGGATCCAATTGTGTACCTGAGAGTTGAGCTGGAGAAAAGCCAGCAGGTCTACTTTAGGATACAAACTAATTATGTTTTTTTTTTTTCAAATTAAGATTCTTTCATTGCAAACACAGACTGCTTACAAAAAAAATAATACAGCGTTTTTTCTCATTTAAAAATCAACCGATTTTCTTTTCCTCTGGCATGTGAGTTCAGGCATTTGCGTGAGCAAGTTGTTTTTTTTCCCCCATCATTAGCAGCTCCTGCCTCGTCCCAAACCCATGGGGTCCCCGCAGAGGAGCTGGTGCGGTACACTATAACCAACTCGGAGCACCTGGAACCCAGCCACAACATCAAAGACATCATCAGACAGTATCAGTACCCCAGTCCAGCCAGGAGCACAGAGCCAGCCAGGTCAGTGCACTGTGATGGGGACATTCAGAATTCTCATTGAGCATGATGTAGCTGCTTGTCTTGGATTGTGCTACAAATTCCAGAATGTTTTGTAATAATAATAATTTTTAGTGATGACCATTATAAACAAAGGATTTATACAGCCCTAGCACTGCCTTAAATGCCATAGTGATGCACAGCCTTTGAACATAGCTGTAATAATAATAGTAGTAGGTTAGGTTTTATTAGTGATAATATTTCCAATAGGTTTTCTGAATCCCTTCCTTTTCAAGTTTCGAACAGGTCGCAGCCCATTGTACTATCAAAGATCCCAAATGCCTTTTTAAATATGTTTAAATCCAGAAGACTCATGCCAAAAATATTTTTCCCAGGAAGGAACAAAAGGAATAGACGTTGCTTACGTCAAAAAAAGTTAAAAATGGAGAATGCCTGCAAAAAAATGTTCTATATAGTGGCTTAGAATGGCTCCCTGGTTTGTAAATGCAAGGTTTCAAATTTGTTGCAACACATTTCTTCATAGGCTGCTCACGTTGGGCCATGTTGACTGATAGCATGATGGCTGAGTTACTAGTTAAGAACTTGTCTCTGCTTTGCCTTGATGTCATAGGAGGGAAGGTGGGAAAGTGTTTACGAAGAAGAAAGACCCACATGATGAGGCCTTAATGATCTTAAAAGGACAACTGACTTCTTACACCCCTCAGGTACTGACATCATAACTAAGTAGGAGCAGCCCAATAATTAGAGAAGCGTTTGCTAGGAGGCATGAGTGCGCACTCAGATTAGTTTCCAATGCTCAAGCCTCTCATAGACATTATAGTTCTGTCACTGCTTGTAGCAACCTGGTAGCCTCCTTCTGTAGTCCAATGTGACGTCCCAAAAAGACCCTATGAAAATGTATTTCATCTAACTGGGTAATCTACATCCAATACATGCTTGTCTCTGAGCTTCTGACTACCTGATCCCTTTGTGGTGTAGTGTCAGACATATTTATGTGATGGAATTTCTTTTAGGTCCTCTTTTTATCCATTTAATCTTCATTTTAATCTTCCTCTTCCTTTTTCAGACTCAAACAAAGAATGTTTCAGTTGTAGAGTGGTTCCTTCATGCTATGTTCCTTTACTGAGTGTCCTTTAAACATCTGTGTCCACTGTACTGTAGTTTACGTTGCATCTCTCGTCACCATTGAATCCCAGAAAAGTTCTGTTCCTGCTGCCCCCTATGGTACCAAGGAGAAGGGATACCAGGAGGGCACTGCCAACATGAAGCCAGCCGGTAGCACCAAAGCGATGAGAGCTGCACCTCCGATGCCAGCGGGGTCCTTCCGGAGCCCCAGAGCCCCAGTGGGTGGGTGCAGACAGGGAAGAGAGCTTTGGTTAAACAACCTAAGATCCGTCGACTCAAACTCCCTAGTCTCCTCTGTGAACTGCTTCAGAAGCGACGGCAAGATATGAGCCACAGGGCAGAAGTCACAAGGGGAAACTACTGTATATAGAAGTGCATTAAAGCCAAGAACAGAGGCACTTCTTTACCAGAAGAGTTGTGGAAATATGGAACAAGCTATGCACCCATCCTGTTGTACCTTGGTCATTCAGAGCAGCACAGCTAGGCCAGCTCATGACAACACAGAGTTCGGCTCTCGAGTGGCTTAGTCGGTATAGGCTCTTATTCATTGAGCAGGTTGGGCCCTATGGTGCAGAAATGACCGGGTCTGGGAAATATCAGTAGTGTCAACTATGAGCTAAGCCAGAGGTTCCCAGTCCTGGTCATGCCAGTGTTACACTGCACGTACCTGCAGGGCAGCGCTGGATTTCGGAGAGTCCAAGCACAGGGCTTCGAGCGTTAATGGTGGAAGCCGAGAGGAGCCGAAAGGAAGAAGGTTTGCAGGCGGGCAGGTCGGTCCTGAAAGACGGCCGGAGGGCTGCCTGGGGTGAGGTGCCAGAGGCCGAGTTTGGTAGGAGTGAAGCTGCTCAGAAGTGATGCCGTAGGTCTGGCTAGCAGCTTTGAAAGGTGCCAAATTCCGGTTGTATTCAAACTCCGGCTGTAGCCAAACTCTGGCTGTTGGGAGAAGTAGCGCCGAGTTCAGAAGGAGTTAGACATGCTGTCGTTTCACTCAATGAGAGTTCGCAGGCCCTACAGCAAAGTAAGCCTTAAATACTGCTAATTAATTGGATGATTAAATAAATGGTTGGCTACCTGATTGATAGGCTGCTGGTTTCACACCCTGATCTTGTCCTCACCAGCTGAGTGGACAGAGAAGGGCTCATGACAATGCTGGCAACCTCAGGCTATGGGCCACTTCCAGCTGGAGTGTGACAGTAGGACCACACAGCTGCTGGTGTTCTTTCCAGCCTGGCATAGTTACCTAGTTAAAGCCTTCATTGAACTTACAAGCTGCTTGATTGGAATATTTCCAATATTGTTCCACAGAAAATGTTTGAGATTGTATTTTGCTCATGAAATGGGATAGTTAAAAAGCAACTTTCAACATGTTTAAATGTCAGACAGTTTGGATGAATCCTACTGTATTGGTGCGTTTCCTCCAGGACCAGGAGTGGCAAGCCCTGTGAGAAACTAAGCATAGGTGGCAACACAGAAATGGCTGAGCACCACTAGAATCAAGCAGTCTTATCCAGTCTTTAATTGGAGGTGCTTTTGAAAAGGAAATAATCAGTTTCCAATTTTGTTTTCAAAAAAGCTGTTGCAAACGAGGGGTCATTCTGCCCTTCGAGCTCGTTTGTTTGAGATGTCAATGTGTCACGTCTTGCACATTTGTTTTTGTCTTCGTCTTCCTTCACCATCCCATCTACTTGAACGTCAATGATTCTTCTGGCACACAGTTTTCCGGGAGCTGCCAGTGGAGGCTGAGAAAATCCAAACGCAGTTACACAGGATGAGCAGTGACGAGCACTTCACCTATACCAACGTGTCCTGGAAGATCTACGTCCGGAAGGAGGTGGGGTCCCAAGTTGTTGTCCCCCAGGAAGTTTTACATGACATAACAAGGAGACCAGGAGAGCCAATGGGTTTTTTTAATGCAGGATTGTAACGCTCTTCAAAAAATAACATATTTATTAACAATAGCTACATTTACATTTATTGGATGGTAGGCATTCAGTTGTTGTTTTTTTAATCCTAACTCATGAGTCATGGCCTTCAATTGCAAATTTTAAATGCCATAATCCAGAACATTTTCTAGCAATCCTTAAAATATGGACATTTTAGGATTTGAGGATTAGAGTTGGATTCATCCACATATTCAGATGCATATTCCTACTTGTATTCTGTTAGGAATAGATCTGATCTCTTGGTTCTTGTCAGGCACTAATTCTGACATAATGATTTATATGTATTGATTTATACTGCTATGATAACTGTCTATTCCTTCGCTTGCAGGTTTTTTACCCCAAGGATAGCATAAACAATCCATTAGTGTTGGATCTCATATTTACACAGGTATGCTTGTTGGCAGACATGTCGAATATGATCTTTAACTTTCTGAGTAAGTGTAAAGAGCATTCCATATATGATTTACACATTCAGCATAGAGGTCAATAAAAGTGTTTTTTTTTTCTCCAGTTCTCTCATGTAACCTTGAAATTATGTGGTAATTTGCTTTATTGTAGATTGTCAGTGACACCTTTTCAGATGCATGCATTCGAATTACAAAGGAGGAGAGACTGAAGATGAAGGCATTGTTTGGTAAGATTTCTGTTTATTTTGGAGACAAAAACGTTTTTGCATATATGTATTTTACATAATGCTTGGTAACAAAAAGAACTTAGGCTTCAGCCCTAAAGGTAATCAAACAAGATTAAAAACTTTATGGTTAAGTTAAGAATTAAATGTATTGCTTTATTTGAGGCATATAAAACACCTCCATAAAAAACTACACAACACAGTACAACAAAATGCATGATTTTTTACAACCATTTGTGCAAATGACATTGCAGGCACTTTCTGTATTTATTTATAATGGCTTATAACAAGATATAGTTTTAGCCAAACTTTACAGTAAAAGCAAAACTGCATGTAAAGAGGAGTAAGCTGAAAATGACAGAAGACGCTACAAGAGCCTGCTTATAACCACTTGAGAATTGGTTATGCCAGCAGCCATATCACCCTGCAGCTTACAACTGACAGCCCACTGAAGCTCAGCAGGTG